ATAAAATCTAATAGGACTTTGATGAAATGGTACCATAAAGTGATTTTATTTTGGAAAACACGATGTAAATTTATGGTACAATGCAGTACTTCTAAGGCTCCCACGATGGCCATAAGGATGAACACACGTTGATCATCGTCAAGAGGTCAGAGTGCGCAATTATTTACGGCTGGCTGGTTTCCACGATAGAATCGGTGACGAAGCATACAGAACAGCCGAGCGATACTCACTCTTAATTGTACATGGATGCTCGAGTAGAAGATGGAAGACTGGTATGATTTCTCTTTTCAGATTAAAACGATTATCATAATACATTTACTTATTATTCAAATAAATGATTTTTCAAGAATCTTATTCAAACATATACTTAATAGTTTTACAATTTACATCATTCTTCCAAATCCAGTGTCATGCAAAGTATTCAACCATGTTTTTCACCCTTAAGAACCACTTTTTACTAAAAGTACATAAATATTAGATAAGATTATTTTAGCGTGTTCCTTTCTTTGTTGATTTGTATAATTAAGCCTCACGTGGCCCTTTGATTATTTATGATCAACAAAAATGTTGTTTTTATTATATGATTAGTTTCTAACAGTCACTTTACTTCAAATGTTAAAAACTTATTTTTTGGTCTTATTTTGTAATCAAAAGTGGCCATTAAACAGCATTAAAAATACAATCATTCAATTGTTGCAATTAGAAAAAGATTAGAACATCGTAAACTTTCGTTAATTACAGTATCTATTAACTTACTTCATTTACTTGAGCATATTGCATTGCTGTGTAGAAGATGTATGTAAGTACAAGTGTGTCTTCCGAAAAGAAAATTCGTTTGCAGGAGACATTTTGTTATAAAATGTAAAGAGTGTCAGAATCGAATATTATTTATTCTAATTACTTTTCTTCTAGTTCTCTTTTCGTTTAACGGAAATAGTCAGAACTGATCACGAAAAGTTTCAAGATTATTTCAAATGAAGGCAGCACGACGATTGAAAGAGCCCACAAATATTTACGACTGATTACACGAGTATTACAATTCTGATGCGACCGTTGAAACATGGGCACAATTTGAACGATAGTCATAACATGTGCGGTGATGTTGCAGCGTTCCTACAACGTAATCGTGCTGGTACGCAATATGGCTGTGCCATAAAATTTGTACAATTGCAAGTGGAACGAACGAATCCCGTGTTTACAGTGGGCCATATTAGATCTGTTTCCATGGAGGAAACATAAAAGTGTCACGCCATTCCATTACTAGTAATGTTTATTATGGTAACTTCCCAGTGAATTATCTACTCCGGTTAATTCTGGTTGCAATCAATATTTAGTTACATAATATTTGTAAATGCACTAACTATGATACGTGGAATATATAGTCTTCACATTTGAAAATATATATGTACATTATTAATGAACACGCACGGATAATTCTAACGAACGTCGTGAATACCTCGTACCGTCGCGATAACTTTGCATGAGTGATAACAGGTTGATAACAGGAAAAAAAAGAAAATTACTTTCTTGCTTGAACTAGTTGATTGTATTTACAGTTGAATGTTAGAATTAAAGAAAAACATAGTATAATATACGTAAATACATGAATTAGATTGATTGTGTTAGCTTCTGTGTACTATGTCTGAATGTTTATCTTTATTTATCTCTTAAGATTGCATGTCATGTTATATTGTAATCTGAACAGTGATTCTAACATTGTACGAGAGGTGAATCATTTTTTTCGCGTTGAACGTAATGCGTTGGTCATTATATGCGCATACCGAACGCGTTTTTTATACGCTGCAATGTGCAGCAAAAAAGGAAGATTTTGCAGAGTGCTTTCCTGTAAAAAGTACCGCGGCTTTGAAAAAAAATTGTTTTCATTTCCTCCTTGGAAGTCATTGAAGTATGCCAAACGAGGATTACCATATTATTAACTCCTTCGTTGAGAATAACGAGTTTGACTCGTGGTGCGTTACAAGATATGTAACATTGCATTCAATATTGCTGAATACTGAACTTTACAGCCTTTTTATACAAACATAGATGGTAGCGGTACCCAATATGAAATAAAATATTTTTTATTATATATAGAAATATAAAATAAAGTATTTTCTAGTACATATCAAAATAAATGTAATATTTAATATATAATATATAATATGTAAAATCAAAATATATAATAAAAAATACGGGGTTCCATTTAAAAATATTAATATAGCCTTCGCAAGGCATTTCAAGGTCATCTTAAAGTTAAATATGTAAAAGCACAGCACGTGTCTCTCGCAACGACACAACGTTTGCCTGAGAAACATTTTGTCGCAGCGTGCGTGCTTTTTCAGAAATTTCAGTGTTTCAAGTAAAATCGGACACAGAAAAATGGTTATAATTTTCGACCAAGGTCAGATAGAACTTGTGTTCATACGAACTTTTTTAATTGCTTTTGTGCGCTCTATTCACTCTCGAAGTGGGTTCCACGTGTTACACCCTGTATTTGCTCTATTCTGTATATAAAAGTTCATCAGAGGGGAAACAGGATAATATATATAAAACGAATGCCACGCGAATAGGTTAAAAATAAAGATGGCCTTCTGCAATTGAAACATTCATCATACAAACATACTCACATTAGTGGAATATTTGACAAATAACAATTCGCAATTTTTTACAAAGTTGCACTATTGTCTGGTTGAAACGCGGTATGAAGTGAATTGCAACGTTAATGAGCCTACGAGTGGTGTGCACTCAACGGACACATTTGACTGTTGTATAGCATCTGAAGGTTTATGACACGTCAATCACCACTCAGAACGAGTTCGAAGGTAGGACTCTGAAAGTGGACGTGTTAATTAAAAATGTACAATAATAAATTAATTTTTCGAATAGGCAACTGAAACTCTCATTTGTCTGTATTATCTCAGAAACAGCGAATTTCAAACGTTCACATCATAATCTTAAATATAGAAATTTAAAAAGCTATGCATTCGTTTCGAGAAACTTTCGAGAATAAGTAAATAAGCATAACATCATCAACTATAGCCATGAGAAAAGGAATTTCTATAATCTACCTACTTTTCTACGTTTATATGTATTTCTTTCTAAAAGTTCAGTGACGCCAAGTGAAAAGATTTAGCGATAAAAGAAACGTATCCCCTTATCGTGGTGAATTTCAAATGTTGCGTATAATCTATGCAAAGTTTCCTCAATGAATATACGTGTATACGTATACGGCTCCGCGTTTGACAGTCTATCGGATAGAAAGGTTTCATTCGTCAAGATATATATAGAAAACACGAGGGTCCGTTTATCGTTTATCGCTGATGCCGTGGAAAACACACCGTTTTCCGCGATTATCATTCCGCTTTCTACGCCGTGCGCTTTCCCTAATCGAATCAGACGGGACAAGCAACGGCGCAATCGCACTGTCCTTGATTGTTCATTCATTTTGATTACTTTCTTCGAATATGTCAATCCGTTCCGACGTTAATTCACGTGCTAAATTTGACTTGACAACCGATTTTACTGTTCAAACGTTGAATCCATCAATAATCGTGTTCGCGATGTGTGTATACCAGTTAGAGTCGATTATGTAAAACGTTCTAGTTGTACGTTCTCAGGGACTCTTGTTTCACTATTAATTGGTCATCGGTTTTTCGACTGTACGTCAAGTTCTTTAAAATTCAACGGAGCTTATTAAATATACTATAATAAAATTCCGATAGCAAGAAAACTTGCAGAGTAATGAGGTTGGATCTAATGCTCGTATTCGAGGGTAGAAGGGGAGAGGAATTTTCAATGAAAAGGGGTTGTGTGCAACCAAGAACGATAAAAGGAAGGTTATATTTAAATATTTTTCTATATACAATATTGTATTTTTATTGTGTAATCATTATTACCGTTTATCATGTAAATTTTACCCGAATATGTATAGCCAAAGACGAATAGAACAGTATTTAAAAGAAGTAACAAATATTTAGTACACCAATAATACTTTGTACACAAACGATCGTACGCGATTCGCGAGTGTTGTAAATTGCAAACAGATTTACTTTACAGGAAAGAATGGTCCACGTAATTACGTTTATTTTGTTCATCATTCGGGACGTTAATTAAAGGAGAAATACTTGACTAGATTTTATTACAGTAAAAGGCTTGACTCGCGTTTATTGTTGGCTCGCAGGTCTTGAATAACGATACCGTTATAGCCCAGTTGCCGACCATTTAAATTTTATTCTTTGCAGAGCAAATGCCGATATGCATTAATCCATTTTCTTTTATTTCAACAAGGGATTACCGGAATTGTTTCAGTCGAGAAGAAACGCCGTAGACGCACTTCATTCTCTAAAACAGCGTTCATTCAGATCTCACGATCTATTTACACGACACATTTATTTTTCATAGGTATTCTTTGGAGAAAAAGTCGTTTGATGTGTATTGATTGTTTTCAGGGAAACGATAATACGATTTTACTTTGTAATTTCTATATTGTATAAAAACAGAAATGCTAATGAATTCTAAAACCAATTTTTATGATTCTTGTATATACTTTTACATAAACGCTGAGGATGCAAATTGAAATTTTCTGAAAGCATATTATGTTTATCGATATTATCTAATGTTATTGTTCTTTCTCATGAATTGGCCGAACACTGCGAATCTCTATATAAATAAGTCATTAGGAATTAAACAAATGTTTGATCTTTTAATAAAACTAAATACCAACGAGCAGATTACAATCATATTCATTGTATGACGATTATATAGTTCATTGTATTAATGGAGAAATCGTAATTATCTACTGTACTTTGTTTGAAAGAATGTGTTTCCTAGAAGCCGGCAATTTGATAAATTTATCGGTATCAGTACCTTACGTATTTTATTTCTTGGGTATATTCGGAATCTGAATATTCCTCGACAAACTAAACAACAACTATGGAAGACAGTATTAATTTCTCGTAAAAGTTTCATTCAGTTCTCAATATGATGTGTGACGAACTCACCGGAAATACGGATGAACACCGCATTCTGTTCCTCATTATCCACCGTTATCTCCGCAGTCCTCCTCTGCAACAATAAAAGAAATTCTCAGTGAAATTTTATTATTGTACAATTTTCAATTCTTTATAATTCAATAAAATGGAATACAGTGTCGAGTGTGTTTTTTTTTAAGGGAAATAAAGAGTAAAAAGTGAAACAGGTTTCTACTTTTTTATTTTAAGACTTCAGGTCAAGATGTCGGGTAATTGGAAGTCTTGAATTTCTTCAAGGCAATGGAACTAATGTGCAGTGTTATCTCCTCAGCGTCACGCTTTAGCGATCCTATTAGCAACTCATTTCTATCTTTCCTACTTTCTGTAGTGAACAGGCTTTTCAGAAAGAAAAGTAGTAATGTATTGTACAGGTACCGAAAAATGTTCGTGCGGGTTGTTAAATCAAACGACAGAGAACGTTTCTGTAAAATAATTTTAGTAGAATTATATATTAAAATAAATATTACAATTCATTTCCTTCACGATATATTAGTCTGTATAGAAAATATCCATTTTTTCGAAAACAATATCTACAATAAAATATATCTACAACTGGTGACTACAAATCTAGTGATAATAAGACCTTTATCTTGCATTTAAAATCTCGAATCTTGAAATAAAAGGAATGTTTCCGTGTAATTTGTATTTAGAAAACTGTTGAATGTGTATGCGACGTTAGCCATGTATATGTGCGGAAACAATAGACGTGCGCGCATTTGTGTGCCACAATTATATATTAATAATTCTTTTATGTTGACGACACTTTTACATAATATATGTAAGTCACGAAAATCGAACTGTTACAATTCTACACACTAAAAAGTAAGCATTCGCGTTGATTCTGCAAGTCATCTAGAAACATTATATGAAACCTTGTATGAAACCTTATACGTCGCTTGAGGGTGCATTAACCTTGTTTTCTTAACTATTTACGCAGTCAACTTTACTGTTTATGTAGCTCGATGTGCTTTTCTCTGTAGAATTGTATTAATTCGTCATTTCGCTACGCAGCCATCTCGTATAAAAGTTTTTTGTACAGCATATTGATACGGTGCATTAACTAACTTATAGGCCTCCAAAAGTGATGTTCCGATGGTCATCATTTCAAAGGGCCATACGCACACGTCGTTAAATCTTCATTTCGTCCCTATCATCCGCGGAATCGAAAACTTCGAACAGTGTCCGTGCGCAAATCAATGTCGCGTTTTGACTGAAATTTGCTTCGCTCAGATAGACATTGATGAATCGTAAACGAAGAGAAAATTGTTCGGGCATTCATGAACGCGGGGCTGAATGTGCCCGGACAATGGGAAATGAGCAAAAAGATCGGACAAGGGGAGGGGAACAAAAAAAAAGGAAGGGACGGGAATGAACAGGGAATTGTGCAAAGTCTGGGCAAACGCGACCCGACAACCGATGGATCGACCTGGCAGCGTTCGACAACTGAAACTCGCTGGCAGACTTTTCACTAGCGGATCAGGCCGATTGCCAATTACAAAATGGGGCGACCTGGATTCGCATCCATTCTCCGAGGTTCCCCAGGTACCGCTCTGATACGGAGACAGTTACCAGCATCGCGATACGCCTACGAAATGGCCAAGGTATCTTCGCGAAGGTGACAGGAAGCCTGCTCATTAGGTCGAAGGTTTCTCAAAACTTGCCAAAATGCATGGTCACTGAGGCTACGTAGCCATGAAATAACTCTAATATCGTTGCGAAACCTTACCTTTTCGGTAACTCTTCGATATCTACTTGCAACCAGGGACTTAACACTTTGTTGACCAGCAATTTTACATGGAAGCTATCCCACGTCACTGGTTATTATTCCGTAATTAGAAATGAAAGTGAAACAATCGAAATAAGCTTGAATATACTTTATTTATGCAGAATCAATTGAAACGAAACTGTGGATATATCTTTCATATAACTTCGAATATTTTGCTTTTGCGATATTCTATATTGCCCTGCGTTTCAAATGGCTAACACAAGCGGAAACATAAGTTAACTCATGACCGGTCAACAATGTGTTAACACTAGATGTACAGGCACTTTGTATAAACTATTTTTACCGTAACCAATCAAATAATTGGTTATACAATAAAGGTAAACAAGTTATACGATCAATTTTTCTTAGTGGACACATTAGCAAAACGGAAGACAAAAGTTGAAAAATTTATTAATTCGACAACACAAAAATCGGTAGAGATAAATGGTTGAAAGAAAACGCAGAATTTTAAATCAAACTTTAATCCTTAACGGACCGGAAGCATTTCAAGTTGACTTATCGCCAAAAAATACCGTAACATAGATAACAAGCGAAAACAATTTCACAGAAGTGACCTAGCACAATACTGAACGTGTTAATTGTAAATATTACAACAATGACAGTGAGAAAAATAATAAAATGATTTTTGTCGTCATATACGCGGCATTTAATCCAGTAAGTAAAAGTACAATGCAGGTTATATGACGGCATTGGTTAGTTAAGGGTTAATTCTGGTTATTGGACCGGTCGCGGTATATTTAGTGTTAATACCGGTATGAAGCCTGGAAGTTAAAACCGAAATAATATTAACACCGGTATAAGCCAATAATAACTAAAGAGTTAAACACTGCACTTAAATTTCATCAATTTTTGAAATTTAACCAGTTAACGGCGTTCGACGAGGATGCACATCGTTTCAACACTAGAACTACCAAGAACTTAAACTAACTTTTCCAAATTTCATTAAAAACATATAATTCTCTCTTCATTAAGATTTCAATTGCGTTACATTCCAGTGTAGGCACCACTGAATCAGCTTCTTTAACGATTCCTCAGAGAGGCATTTGTACCTTTCCAGTAATTATAAAAGAAGAAATCAAGAATGGGTTATTCTGACCTATCTGGCAGTTCTAGTGTTAAAACGGAAAATGCTACTAATTTTTTCAACGATGAATTATTTATTTTTTAAGATGAACATGTAATTCTTCTTCGTTTTGCTTTAGTTTATCGCTAGATTGTATCATAGGTACATTTGTCCTGCCTTTGACAAGTATACACTTTATTGTTCGATTTTATTGCGCGTGCAATGAGGGATCTTTCAATCTATATTCCACAGTTAACAAGTTAATATTTGCATCATAGCACATTATACAGATGTGCGAGAACAAAAATGAAGAGCCTTACATTAGCCTCGAGCGACGTTCTAACGGTGAAGGCACAAACGTAGAATCTTTTCCAAAATTCCAGTTCAATATTCGGAAGAAAGTGAGCTGGCAACACGAAACTCAAAAATTCATTATCGGTTTTCCAGCGGCTTTCACAGTCGCTTTACAAGCGCCGGCTTTGCGTTCTCCGTGTCGGTCGTGCGGCTCGATCACTCTGCCGTTTTCTTTTCCGCTATACAGTTCTGCCGTTCGTTGGATGCAATAACGGAAACACGTGAAAACTTCGGCTGACCGGAATACTTTGTCGTGTGCTTTTCACAAAGGGAAATGGAAGTTGACAGAAACAGACTCGAGAAGCGCGAGTCGAAGAAAGCGACTACGTTTCTTTTCCCTGGTGAACGATATCAAATCGTGTAAAAACGTTTACAGTGGAATCGAACCCATCGAAAACAGATTTGTTAGGTTTCCGTGTAAAAGGAAAATCGTAGATTTTCATACGTGTATATTTTTAGTAGGTATATGTGTACAGGGTGTATCTAACGACTGGGACGATCTGTAACATTGTTCCTGTTGAAATTAGAATACAATCATAAGTGAAATCATTAGGATAAGATGATTGCATCTTGGAATCGAATAATGGTATTAAAACAACAGAATCAAGATACTGAAGTGAAGTGTATTTCCCAAGGAACAAAAAATAAGAAGTAGCGAATAGAAATTTGAATGACATACAGTAATAAACTATTTTAATTAACCCTTTACACCCTGAAGGTTCTTTAAAGTACAATTTTATTAAATACACCATTATGGATCAAATATAACGGTTTTTTTTTATGTGAATGTAAATGAAATTTCACTTTTAAGTTGTACATATATCTTTAACAATTGTACATAATATAGATGTTTACTATATGTTATTTGAATAGACTTAACGTATCTATAATAAACGTGGCAAAACAATAGAAACAACGTGATGTAGAACACAAGGGATCAATTTAAAGTGTTGTGTACAAACGATTAACCTTCTGTAACAATGTAAAAAGTGATTAATATTCAGAAGAGGCGTGTCTGAACATTCTGTTCGTTCCTCTATCCCTAATTCCAGATCTCGCGTACCGTATCCCTTAAGCCATCTTCTCGTGTACAGGGACGACAAACAGAATTTCCAATTGCTTTGTCCTGTTATGCGATGTCCATGCGACTGCATTATGTTGTTAATATTGTGGACTTTCTAAATGGCAAGCAGCTTGCTAAGATAGTTGTGCCGTGGATATATCCCGTGCATTGCAAATATTGTACAACAATGTTTCTGAATGCAATCATTCAAAATAAATATGTTTTCAAATAAATATTTAATATTATTATTATTTGTATCTTAAATATGATATTTTAATTATTTTATGTTGCAGATCATATGAAAGACAAGTTTATAATACAAATGATGTTATCAGAATCATCACCCGCATAAAATAGTGAGAACTAGAAAACCACGATTAAGAACAAAAAAATATGTATTCCAGTTAAACGATTAAGAATAGTGAAGAAACTAGGCAAAAAATTAATATTTTGTTAATATTAATGTTTTGTGTGTTCTCTTTTGATACTTATGAACGTTTGTAACGAAACTAAATCTGATAAAAGTAACTGAGTTTTATAATACATCTACTTAAAAATATTCAAAATCATTACGTGTGTTGCATCACTTTCCTAAAATAATAGATATATGTATGTTGTTTTTCTAATTCTTTTTCAGTAAATAATAAAGACACAATCAAAGGAAAAGTAAATTTTCCAAGAATCACTGATTGAAATAAACAGAAATGTTTTCATCAATTATTTCAACTGAATTTCCAATGGCTTTTTTAGAAAAACAGTTCCGAACCA